TAGATTTCAATATATAAGCTTCCAAAATCAGCTCAGTGACAGCTTCTTTTACGTGAACGCGAAGTTTCCTCCGCGAACGCGATTCACAAGTCCAATTTTTCCATTTTACTCTTCACGATCGCGACAAATGGTCCGCGATCACGATTTACACCCCTGTAGCCAAAAACCAGGAGTTGAAACGGACTTAAAAATGGTCCGAACCCACACCGAAACTCATCTAAGCCCCTCAGATCTTCGTTCGAACATAACAACAAGTCCCAAAGCATAACACAGACCTATTCGAGGCCTCAAATCACACTTAACAACAACAAAACCAAGAATCGTCGATCAAGATCAATCTCTTAAGTTCATAAACCAAACGTCTGATTCAAGCCTAACTAATCCGGAATCCAACCAACCTTTGCACACAAATCCCAAATGAAAAAACAAACATATTCCAACTTCTGAAACAATAATCTGAACCCGATAACATTGAAGTCAACTCCCGATCAAACCTATGAACTTTTCAAACCTTCAAATTGCCAGCTTTCGCAAAATAGTGTTGAAACCTTTTAGAATATCCAAATGCAAATTCGGCCATACGCCCAAGTCCAAAATCAACATTCGGTCGGACCTAACAACATCATCAAAACTCCGATCTGAGGTCAAATACACAAAAGTCAAACTTGGTCAACCTCTTCTAACTTTAAGCTTCCTAATTAGGAGTCCTTCTTCCAAATCAATTTGGAATCACTAGAAAACTAAAATCCAATTATAGATGAAAATCATAATACACATATTAAGCTACACAGGACCTCAAACCACCAAACCGAATTCAAATGCTCAAAAAGACTAGTCGGGTTATTATATTTTGGTAGTTTAAGTAATGAAAGAAATATTTTGCTTAATTATTGTGCAAAAAATATTCCTTTTACTTAACTGATAAAGCTCAGGAATCTTTTTTACATTTGATAACTTTTGATCTCGGGTAGTCATACTTCCGGAATCTACCCTTTTACAATGAGGGTTTCATAAGAGAGGGCCCTCATGTTTACGGTGCTTTTGAAGAGGACGTCTCATGTTCATGCCAGCACAAGCATTTGAAGTCTAATTAACTTTCACACTGAAAATAATTTAACATATTTCGACAAGAAATAAGATAAAAATAAAAGGACTTTGATTTATTCCTTCCATCTTTAAAAGTACATTTACATAATATTTATTTGCTTAAGTAAATAAAGGTGCCAATACATGTGGCTAACTTGTATTTCTATGGGGCTGATCATGCAGTCCCCGATCCTGATAAGACATAAACCCTAGTTCTAACAGTCCCCAGTCCTCGTGACACTTTTAGTGCCTTAGTATTCAATAGGCCCCCCAGTGTTTGGATGCTAAGAGTGAGAATTCGAACACTAGAGATTTTATCGCCGGTGACCCTTTCTTCATAGTATACTTTACATTGCTGTCTCATTAAAAACCTTGCCAGAAAAACCTAATTGGGATAAAAACTGGACGAAAGAAAAAAGAGTGCAACATATACTTTACATTGCTGTCTCATGTTCCAATTTCATGGCAATTTAACTCCATCTTGATTCTCCAATTGATATGAACCTTTTTTGGTTATAGCTGAAATTCGATAAGGTCCTTCCCACGTTGGTCCCAGCTTTCTAGCGTTAACCTCTAGAGTACTTTGAGTTACTTTTCTCAAAACCAAATCTCTCACTTTAAAATATTGAAGATTTTCTCTACAATTATAATATATTTCCATTCTTTTTCTTTTGATCCACCATTCTCACCTACGCCAAATTTCGATGTTCTTCAAGCAGATCCAACTTAATCAGCATTGATTCATTATTCGCCTCCTTGTTTTCTCAGTAATACCTTATGGTCAGTTCACAAAGCTCCACCAGGATCAAAGCTTCCGCACCGTACATAAGTGAAAATAATGTTTCACCTGTGCTCGATTTCGCCGTTGTTTGATATTCCCATAACATACCTGGTACCCCATCTGTCCAATTACCTTTAGCATCTTCTAACTTCTTTTTGAGATTTGGAATTATTACCTTGTTGGTTAACTTGGGTGGTTGGAGAAGATGTAATCCGTTTGATCTTCAATCCTTCCAAAAAAATTATGACTTTGGAACCTATAAATTGCGGCCCGTTGTCACAAGAGATTTCTTTTGGTATTCCAAACCGACAGATGATGTGATCCCATATGAAATCATATCACTTCTCGTTCTCCGATCTTTTTTTAAGCACCTGCTTCAACCCAATTGGTGAAATAGTCAATTAAAACCAAAAGAAACCTTACCTGCCCGTGTCCTGGTGGTAAGGCACCAACTATGTCAATTCCCCATTTTATGAATGTCCATGGTGATAACACAGAATGCAAAAGTTCTGTTGGTTGATGTACTAATTGTGCATGGCGCTGACATTTATCACATATTTTTACAAATACCTTAGTGTCTTGCTCCATCCGGGCCAATAGTAGCCATCCCTTATCAATTTGAGAACCAACGAGTCTGCACCAGAGTGGTTCCCTCACACTCCTTTCTGAACTTCTCTCATCATGTGGTCTGCCTCCGATGTCCCTAAACACCGAGTCAATGGTCCTTGAAAAGACCTCAATTAAAATTGTACGTCAATAAGACAATAACGAGCAGCTTTAGTCCGTAGTGCCTGGGATACTTTTGGATCTTCAGGCAATTTTCCATGCCTTAAATAATCCATAAACTCATTTCTCCAATCCCAAATAAGGTTGGATGAGTTAACTTCACAATATCGGTCCACGTCCAATACCGAATACAACATTTGAACAACCGCACCAGAATCAACTCCTTTCATTTCTGTGGATGACCCCAAATTGGCCAAAGCGTCTGCCTCCACATTTTCTTCTCTTGGAATATGGATGATCGACCATTCTCTCAACCAGGAAAGTAATACTTGAACCTTATTAACAACTGTTGCATGCATTCCTCTATGGTGTCTAAAGTTCCATAAACCTGGTTTACTACTAACTAGGAGTCACACTTTATTTAAATTACCTCGGAGCCTAGTCCCCGAGCTAATTCAAGTCCTGCAACCAAATCCTCGTACTCGGCTTCATTGTTAATTAATGGTACAGTTCTAATGGCCTGTCATAGGGTTTCTCTCAAAGGAGTGATTAATATTATCCCGAGACCGGACCCTTTTATGTTGAAAATTTCACCCTTAAACAAGGTCCAAACACCTGATACAGTCCCTGATACAGCATTGCTTCTTTAACACCTAAAGGCATATGTCCCAAACTAAAGTTAGCCATGAAGTCAGCCAAACCTTGTTACTTGATTGTAGTCCTGGGTTTGTATACAATGTCAAATTCACTAACTTCAACGGCCCATTTAGCCAATCGATCCGATAATTCAGGCTTATGAGGGACATTCATCAAGGGAAAAGTTGTCATAACGGCTATGGGATGACATGAAAAAAAGGCATAAGCTTTCGAGAGGTGACTACGAGAGTTAGGGCCAACTTTTCAAGGTGAAGATAATGTGTCTCATCTCCCGATAAACCTTTACTAATTTAATAAAAAGGAAATTATGTACCTTCCTCCTCCCGGACCAGAACAACACTTACCGCTACTTCTGAAACTGCTAGATAGATTAATAATTTATCACCTTCCATTAGTTTTGACAATAGTGGAGGACTAGACAAGTACCTTTTTAAATCATTCCACACTTGTTGACATTCTGGAGTCCACACGAAATCATTCTTTTTTTTAAAAGCGAAAAGAATGATGGCATTTCTCCGAGGACCTTGAGATAAACCTGCTTAGGGCTACCAACCTGCCAGTTAACGTTTGCAATTCCTTCAAACATATTAATTGGTCCAGTATATCCTCGATGGATTTTTTAGTTTTGGGTTTTACTTCGATTCCTCTTTGAGATACCAAAAACCCCAGGAACATTTCGAAACTAACTCCAAAAGCGCCTTTTTCAGGATTGAGCATCATGTTGTACTTTCTCGGAATATCAAATGTCTCTTGTAGATGAGCAAAATGATCTCCTTCATTAACATACATAATCAACATATCATCAATATATACCTCCATTGTTTAACCAATTTTTTGTTTAAACATTTTATTGACGATCCTCTAGTAAGTTGCTCCGACATTCTTAAGCCTGAAAGGCATCATAATATAGCACTATGTGCCAAAATTTGTGATAAATGAGGTTTTTCCTTGATCGTTTGGCTGCATATTAATTTGATTATACACGGAATATGCATCAAGAAAGCTCATTAACTCATGTCCGGTCATAGCATCGATCATTTGATCAATGTTTGGCAACAGGAAAGAGTCCTTAGGGCATGCCTTATTCAAATCTTTAAAATGTATATACATTCTAAAATGTATTATTCTTTTTATGTACTAAGACTACATTAGCTAACCAATCGGGATAATTTACCTCTAGGATTGAACTTATATTCAGTTACTGGGTTACCTCTTATTTGACAAACCTATTTCTAACCTTTACTATCGGTCATTTCTTATGCCTTACCGGAGAGAAGTTGGGATCCAAACTCAGCTTGTGGACAACCACTTCTAGTGGAATTCCTGTCAATATTAGAATGTGACCACGCAGAATAATCTACGTTAGTTTCAAGAAAATTAATAATTTTCAATCTTAGTTTAGGGCTCAACCCCGTTCCTAAGTGGAATTTCCTCTCTAAAAACTATTTGGATATGGCAACTTGTTCGAGTTCCTGTGCGGTTGACTTGGTTGCGTTTGTTTCCTCTAGTACCCAAAAAGACCTCAGTACCTGATAGAAATCTGATGACTCCTCTTTACCATTATCTTCAGTCGGGATGGGATGGGGCACCGACTCCTGTAATTGCTATTGGCTTGATTGTTACCCCTTGCTACTAGACAAGGTGACTGCATTCATTTGTTTTGCAGCTGGTTGATCTCCTCTAATCTTCTTGACCCCTTATGGTGTGGGAAACTTCAGTAGTTGATGGCACAACATTCATTTTCATGTATCTAAGGCCTTCCAAGGATCAAGTTGTACCCCATGTTGCCATTTACCACATCGAACAAAGTGGTCTTCGTTATGCCTTCAGAATGCATGGGCAGTAGAATCTCTTCCCGGGGCGTTACACTTATTAGGTTGAACCCCGCCAGAAGCTTTATTGCTGGAAGTATGTTTCCTGTTAACTTTGCTTGCTCCAAAACTCTCCAATGAATAATGTTGGTTGAAATTTCTAAATCAGCCAACACACGTTTAATTTTAAAATCTAAAATATTAAGTGATATTACTAGAGCATCATTGTGTAGTAGGAGGAGGCCATTAACATCCTCATCCGTGAAGGTGATTTCACCATCTTCTAAAGTTTCCCGAATCCTCTTGCCATGAGTTATCGATATCTTAATCTTTTTTGCTGCTGAAAATATCATCCCATTTACTTCCTCACCACCAAAGATCATGTTTCATGCGAAGTGACCCTGCAGCGGGTTTGGCTGGCTCCCTAGCGTCTCAGTTTTTCCCACAATTACTTTGGGCACGATAACTTAAAAATTCTCTGAGGTTGTCATTCTTCTACAATGATGCCACCTCTTCAAGAAGGTGTCGGCAGTCCCCAGTCCTGTGACCATATGTCTCATGGAATTCACACCATAGAATAGGATTCCTTTGGCTAAGATCCGATCAAATGGGTTCGGAAATTTAGCCTCCTTAATGTTCCTCATAGTCGACACCAATTCTATTAAGCTGATGCTAGAGTTATAGTCAGACAACCGGGGGTATGCTGAATCTCGGGACCTCGATGGTTCCTTCTCCTGTAAAGCTTTATTATTCCGACCACAATCCACTCTTCTATGGGCAACAAATCTGCCCGATGACTAAAATCCTTTATTTCCACGCCCTCAAGCCTTTCATAAAGATGAAAGTGACTCCTAGAAGACCTTTGATCTGCCTCGAAATCAGTTTTGAATTTCTCCTGATTTCGATCACTATTATGTCCTGTCACAACCCAATATCCAACTAGTCGTGATGGCACCTAAACCAACCCGCTAGGTAAGCCAATTAATAACAATCCAATTCAAATGAGATTTACTGAGAAAATAATGATAAAATAACTGAACTTTTATACGAAAATCGTAAGGATTGGTAATACAAATCATGAGCTTCTAAGATTTAGAGTTTACAAAGCTAGTATGAAATAAATACATCATCTGCTCGAAATATACATAATCAACTTTATAAATCTAAAGCTACCAAGAACAAGAGGCAGCTATAACCGAAACATAGGTACATCTTCAATGCCAGCTCCCGCCATACACAGTAACATCAACTCCAAGATCTACACGTAAGGTGCAAAAATGTAGTTTGAGTACAACCGACCCCATTTACTCAATAAGTAACAAACCTAACCTTAGGTTGAATGTAGTGACGAGTTCGGAGAAATGGTCAGAGTCCAACACCAATAGTCAAAAGCTACTCCTAACAATATAATAAAAGCAGTGCAAGTAATAAGTCAAAGATATTATGCTCAGCTCGTTCACAGTTACGAAAAATAGGCATGCCTTTCAGGTATAAACAGTTTACCCCAAATCATTCACCGAAATCATCAAAATATGAGTATATCAGAAAACTGTGATTGTTTCCAAATTTTCAACAACGGATAAGATATTTCACTATCAAATAACGTGAGAAAAGTACATCTCTATGCTTGTATGTCAATATGCATGTCAAGTCATCAACTATCATATACCTACTAACATGAAAAAAATGCATCTCTATGCATACATTCTAAGTATGAATGTCAAATGTAATGCATCACATTGATAATCTCAAGTACTCATACTCTACGGGTACTCAATCTGTCTGTCTCAAATTCCCACTTATCACACACAATCACTCAGCACTATACTTTACCTGCGCCCACTGCTCGTTAGTCAGACTCTGGAGGGAGGATCCTGCCCAAGCGCTCATATAAATCCAACATGGCCTTCTGCAACATGCAGCCTAATCCCATAATAACTGCTACGACGTGAAGCCCGATCCCATAAATAGCCAACTCATTCATGTTGCGGCGTGTAGCCCTATCCCATAATTAGCCAATAAGGCCGACTGCGACGTGCAGCCTGATCCCATAAATATCACTGACAATCCGGCTCTCAGGCCCTAACTCAGTCATCAATCTCTATAGTCTCACGGGCTCACAAATCTCATACCTGTCATGCCCCAACCTCGGGGAGCGCAACCGGCGCTTAACCGAGTGGGCCTGGTTGAGAAATCATGTTAGACACTTTCTACCCAACTCGCTTATGATAAGAGAAGGCATGTTTTTATTAGCTAAACAGTAGAAGGACCATATATATAGAAATTACTAAACCATTTAATTTTGCTACTTCCCTATTATGTTTCAAAATACATATATTTTGTGATTTAGTGGAACAAAAATCCAAAATACAACATAATCCGTTTGACCTTTCTAGCACCCATATACAACCCACATAGCATCTACGGATCCTCTAAAGATACAAAAGAGTGTAAAGAAGGTGCCGGCAGCAAGGCTCCGGCTATACCTCAAAAAGTACAAAAGTTTAAACCAAAGATATATTACGTGACCCCGGAATGAAATGGGGCTCACCGTGTCCGCCGAGAAGAGGATGCAACACTCTCTATGATCAACACTGTCTGCTATGGAACCACCTGCATCCATTTAAAGATGCAGCGCCCCGGCAAAAGGGATGTTAGTACTGTCGAATAGTACTAGTATGTATAGCTAAACACCATCTCAATAGAATGAATAATAATACAATAGGAACAGTCAAGAATTCAATAAATTCTTCAAATAATATTAAAACATCAAGTTAAGGATCACATAGTTTTTTAAGTCAATTCCCACATTATTAGGTTGGATGGTTTTTAGTGCCAATATACCACAGTCCACAATACCACAGTGTTCTTACACGGAGTTCGATCTCGGCCCGATCGGCTAAGCCATCTCATTTGAGACATCAACTATATTCACTATTTCATTCACAATACCACCGTGTTATTACACATAGTCCGATCTCGGCCCGACCGGCTAAGTCATCTCATTTAAGCCATCAACCATGTTCACAATTTCACTCATAATACCAACGTATTATTATACGGAGTCCGATCTCGGCCCGATCGGCTAAGCAATCTCATTCGAGACATCAACCATTTCAATCGATCATCTTACTTCATATTTCTTTCCCATCTTTTCAGCACATTGGCACAAGTGGCTTTAATTATAAAGTCGTTCTTGACACTTGGCCTTATTTCATAATTCAAGTTTTTTTCCACAATCCAACATTTTTATTATCATCAATAACAACACGGTTTTCATTCAAGACTCTTGATTTCACATGTGAGTAATTTAGAATTCAAGGCACATAGAGGCTTTTCCCACAATTTGGCATAACAGTCTTTAATCGAATTTGACTTGAAGCCTAGACATATTTGCACATATTCTAAGTCTTGAACATTTCCTCAGATGACGAGATAACATGATGAAAGCATGGGAATACATATTACACATATATTTGAAAAGCAAGCACATTCGGGATAGCAATTTCTAGGACGTTCAATTTGGGACTTACGTCGATTGATGAAGATCATTTTCTCCCTCTAGGACCCTCTCTCTCATTCTAAAAATATCAGAAAATAAGTTCAAAATGGTCCAAGGTAGGTGTTTTAACAGAATAGGGTCGGGTTTAAAAACCCCAAAAATAAAGCTCCGGAACAGGTTCTGCGGTCGCATATGCGACCACATAATGATTATCCAGTCCGCAAAATTTGGGTGCCAAAACTGGAAAGGAACTGACCAGGTTTGCGGTTACTATGCAGCCCGCAGACCTGTTCTGCGGTAGCATAATGCGCTGTAGAACGGTTCTGCGGTCGCATAGTGCACTGCAAAACTTCCCTCCGAAAAATCCCAAAGAGGGATATGCGACAGGAGTACGACCCGCGAAATGGTTATGCGGTCGCATAATGGTCAGGAAAAATGACGCCTATTTTTCCTCTACTACTATTAACCTCTACGCCTATTTCGGCATCACGAAAATTCCGGTTTTTAGGAAAACGTTTACGGGGCCTTACATCCTAACTCAGCCCGAACAATGATAACATGTGATGTAACAATGATTGATGAATAGAGACTGAGATTTGATATGCAAATGAAGAGTCATGATTGAGTATATAATTACAGTTAGAGCAGGTAACTCAAAACAATAGAAATAGCCTCATTAGGTCTCAACCAAATAAGCACATAGCCTATACATGATTTCTAACATGATTCACAGCTCATATAACCAAACAAGTAGGAAGAACATAGATCTAACAAGTTATAACCGCAAAACAAGTTCGATCACAGTCTAATAGTCAACTAAAATCATGATTTCCCCGGTGCACGCCCACACGCTCGTCATCTAGCATGCACGTCACCTCAATACATCTCTAATAACATAGTTCCCAGGGTTAAATACCCTAAAATCCAAGTTTAGATATGTTACTTACCTCGAACAAGCCAAATCCAATACCGAACAAGCCAAACAATACTCTAGAAATGCCATCCCGCGCGTAATAACCTCCAAACGACTCGAAACTAGCCAAAAGCAACTCAAATACATCAAGTAATGCAATAGGAAACAAATCCAAACGATAAAGTTTGAATCTTTAATCAATTACTCAAAGTCAACCTAAAAGTCAAACCCGGGCACACACCTCGAAACCCAACAAAACTAACAAATTCCAAAATCTCATTCGAATACGAGTCCAACCATACTAATGTCACCCAAATCCGACTCCGGGTCGATGTTCAAAATCCAATTATTCACTTTAGAAAGGTTTTGACAAAACCCCAATTTATCTTGTTAAATCTGATGTTTTGATGTTAAATCTAAGGATGGATTCTTGTAAATTTCATAGATATATGTTCGAATCGCTTACCCCAAGCTTGTAGATGAAGGTCTAGGTTGAAACCATTCAAACCCGAGCTCCCAAGTCTCTATAGTGGTGAAGAATGAAATAAAAGTCCAAAATTCCTTTTTATATAGTACAAGATCTGATCTCCTACACTGCTATCCCCATTTTTTCTTGTGTGGTCTGCACTTCCAAGTTCTGCGGCTGCAATCCATATTGAGCGGCCACACTTCAGCAGCAACTGCACTACTAGTCTTCAGTAAATTAGCAATAACTTTATGTACAAATGTTCAATTAATGAACGACTTGATTTTCTAGAAGATAGACTCAATGGGCTACAACTTTCGTTTTTGGATCACTCCAAATTCCTTATATATTTCAAGATACAAGCTCCCAAAGTTGAAGCAACAAACCTGCAGATTTCCTGTTGCTGCCCTCAGTGGAGTCCGCACTTTGACCAATGCCTCCAGACTCTGGGGTTTGCGACCGCACTTGAGGCTTTGCCTCAGCTCTCCGAAAGTGCTCTCAG